TCAGACTAAGTCCATGGCCTCTTCCAGCACTTTGTTATGGCACCACGTGTACACCTGCAACGATTGAGAGTACGTGACGTAAAGTGCCTTGATCATTTTGACATAATACATTGGTGGCAGTGTCACCCCCAAAGCTTGAGGTTGGTTCCATTTAGTAAGAGATCATATTGGAATTTCATACATCTGTCCTTAGGCTCTTCACTGATATATATATATATATATATATATATATATATATATATATATAATGCATGTTTCATTAAATAATATAGACAAGTTTTGTCTCCTTTCATATTGTCTGATAAGCTTAATCACATTATCGTTGAAAGACGAAAGGAAAACAGCATATTGTTTTAATCTAATCTAATCTTTCAGCTTGCATAAGCCATTATCAAAGATGACAATTTCAATAAATCAAACAACACATGGACGAAACAGGAATGATAGTCCGCCCTTGCTGCATGAAAAATTTCAAAGTAACGATAAACTCGTATATACGAGACGCGGAAGCGAAAATCGCGTCGCAGCTCGTGACGTCACACATGACCACGCGAGAGTGAAAAACGAGAAGTATTAAGTATGGGAAGCCGTTGGTATAAACCAATGGCTACTGTTATAAATTATAGGCATTTAAGGATATTTGTGGATATATATATATATATATATATATATATATATATATATATATATATATATATGTGTGTGTGTGTGTGTGTTGTGTGTGTGTGTTTGTATGTGTCTGTATGTGTAATAATTCGTCAACAAATCAGCATAGCATGATGAGAAAAAGGCCCCACACTTTTATCGTCAAAATATTTATGTTATTATCAAGAGGAAAGACCAAAGTATTTTTTAATTATTTTAAAATATTTTAATCCTTTCTGGCAAGTTCAAAATCCTGGTTAAAAATCTATCTTTTTTTTTTTTTTGGGGGGGGGGGTGCGTTAGTGGTCACGTAATGTTTACCATTAGTTTATGTACCGCCTTTTTTGAGTTGAAAAAGCATTAATTTGGAAATTCTGGCAAAAATGAAATAATTGCCGCAGTGTGTTGAATCTTTCAGAACTTATTCACAAATGAATGAAATTATTTTAGAAATGTTTATTTTTTAGATAATCATGGCAAAAATCTGTTTTCATCTGTTTTCACACCATTATTTAATTTTATTTAAACTCGAAAATTCGACTTTGTGTAATTTTGCTATTATATTCGTTAAAAGCAGAACTTGAAAAATATAAATCATCGATTTTTTTTAGTAAATTTCAATACGATGTTACTCAAAATTCAGCTTTGATTTGTTAAATAAAACCCAATAAAGCTAAGACATTATTTAATTAAAAAAGCTTTTAGTAGCTTTTATTAATAATATATATTGACAATATTGTCTGAAGACAAATTATTTTTCCAATGAAAAGTGAATATTTACTATAATTGTTTTCTTTTTTTTCCAATTTTAAATGCAAAATGTTATAAATTTGTGAAATATTTTAAACTTTAGTTTTAATCCATGTCTTTTTCGAAATGCTGCTATTAAAAATATCTATTTTTACAGATCAGAAATTTGAAAGCTTATTACAATCTGCGAAACGATAATATTTTTAAAATATTTTGTAATATACAAAAAAAAAAAAAAAAATTTTGAAAAATTTTTTCTCCAAAACTATTTATGCATGGTTCAGAAATAAAAAGTCACGTGTTGTAGAAGAAAGGACTTATGAAATTGCTTTGCTTACCTTCTGGCGAGCACGTATCAAATTCTCTGATTGACCAACATTGTCGCATTTTCAGAATTTTTTAATTTTCTTTCTTACATATTTCACTAAATATTTTAATTTCATTTTCTGAATATAATTAATTTATTGTTTTTCAACGAGAGACATATTGCAATTATTATTTATTTTCTTTTTAGATTCATTTTTAGGAACAGAAACAGTGCAGACTTTGGACATTTCTTCGTGAAAAAAAGTACCTAAAATACAATAAAATATTAGACTTTTGAAAGTATATAATTTTTAAAAATTACTTAGTTAAATAAGCTGGTTCACTTGAAATTCGAAAATACTGTCACTTTGGTCTTTCCGTCCGATATATTGACCTAAAGTTAGTTGTCAATACATTGACGTAAACGTTAATTCAAAACTCCAAAACAAAGCACCACGATTAGACATGCTTCTCTTATTTTCAACTCAATTTTCTGCTGAAAAATTAAGTAAAGTTTGTTTCCAATTAAATTAGGTAAACTTTAAATTTTCTAATTTTCCTCAAATACATTTTGAAAAAAAATAATTGGATTTTTACAAGATTTTTAAACGGATAATTTCACTTTTGTTTACAAAGTTGTCAAAAATGGCGGACATGATCGCTTTTATGATAATTTTGCTGACTCAAAAAAAGTTTTTTAGCTAAAATTCCGGACGTGCTAGGAAGAATAAAAAAATGTAAAAAAAAAAAATAATAATAAATATTTTGGTCTTTCCTCTTAATAATAACATAAACATTTAGACGAGAAAAATGTTTATCAAGTCTGGGACCTTTTTTTACCAGGGTATATATATATATATTTGGGTAGTGGTGATATTATATTGCGGCAAGGCGATATTACAAATTTTATAATAAAACTTAATTAAATGACTCGGATTTCAGCAAAGCGTACATCCAATTTTAATTACTTGAAACAACGAGTAAATCTTACACCTCGTCGCAGATATATGAAAAGCCCACGGCAAAGTCGGTTGAATTATATTTATGGATATACATATATATCGATAAAACATGAAACTCTTTCTGGAAGTAGACAACATGGAATGATAATCGAACCCAAACTCATAAAAGAGAGACAGATTTAAAAATAAAATCAAGAAATTCTTAAAAAATGAAGGCGGTTCCTGTTTAAACTCATTGAACATGACCCGAAATCACCCATACTTTACGGATTATCAAAAATACATCAACCGGATATCCGGATGTGACCCATTATATCAGAAATACGTATTGCCCCACAGAACCTAGTCGGCACACTAGCGTCCGTTATATAAAATTCTCTGGAGAACATAAAAAAAATATATTGAAAAAGAACATAGACATAAACAGAATATTTTTTTTAGTTTAGATATAAAATCTTTTATATACAAATGAGATCCTTATATTTCTTAATTAAAATCATATAACAAAAATAAAATTAGTTATTTCTAGACATAAGATCATAAAAAATATGTTATTTAATCAGTTTTTAATGAATTTTTTAATCACTGTTTTTTAATGACTTTTTTTGATCACTGTTTTTTAATGAGTTTTTTAATCACACTTTTTAATGACTTTTTAATCACTGTTTTTAATGACATTTTTTAATCAGTTTTTTAATCACATTTTTTAATCACTGTGGTTTTAATGACTTTTTTCATCACTGTTTTTTAATTAATAACATTTTTAAACAATGTTTTTTAATGACTTTTTTAATCACTGTTATTTTAATGCCTTTTTTAATCACTGTTTTTTATGACTTTTTTAATCACTGTTTTTTAATGACTGCCTCAATCACTGTGGTTTTAATGACTTTTTAATCACTGTTTTTTTAATAACTTTTTAATGACTTTTCAATCACTGTTTTTTTAATATCTTTTTTAATCACTGTTTTTAATGACTTTTTTTAATCACTGTTTTTTAATGTCTTTTTTAATTACCGTTTATTATGACTTTTTTAATCAGTTTTTTTAATGTCTTTTTTAATGTCTTTTTAATTACTGTTTTTTATGACTTTTTAATGACTGTTTTTTAATGTCTTTTTAATCACTGATTTAATGACTTTTTCAATCACTGTGGTTTTAATTACTTTTTTAATCACTGTTTTTTAATAACTTTTTTTAATCTCTATTTTTAAGCGACTTTTTGTTAATCACTGTTTTTTAATAACTTTTTTAATCACTGCTTTATCAACTTCGGTAACAAATTTATAGACAATTTGGTTTACCAAGGGGTTACCGTCGTAGTGGTGTTTTAACTTGTCTATTCTTAGAATTTCTAGAAGGTGATTCTTTCAAAAATAAAGGGTGTTTCATTAAGACGGATGAAACGTCCGCCAAGGCTTCGGTGGAAACACCTCCACTCGATGGTCAAAATTTTCGATGACGTCTCTGTATAGTTGCTCCTCGACCTCACCAATATACCTTATTATCTGATCCTGAAGCTGTTGAATTGTTGTTGCCTTGGCGTAGACATTACTTTCGAGATGACCCCCAAGGGAAGAAATCTAAAGGCGCCAAGTCGCACGATCGACTGGTAGACTGGTTGCCAGCCAAAGTTAAATAACTCAGCCTGTGCTGCTATTTAACCCATAGTTGGCGGAAAACAGTTGTATGATACGACCCTGGAATTTTTAGTATGAAGTTTAATTCCTCCAGCAAGAATTACTTGCGTATAGTGCAATCGGTCACGGAAAATGTATGATTTTTAACCACTTCAAAAAAATTACGTAGGTATAGTACGACTCCTATTTGTTGCGTTAAAAATGATCCTAAAAACTTGCACTAGATTTGAATATATGCGGGATGTAAAAAAATGATTCTGAATTAGTATAAGAGATTTTTTGAAATATTCATTTTCGAGTATATTTTAAATAAGTTAAATTTTCAAATAGGATTGTTTATCGCCATTTTATACTCATCTTAAAATATTTCTAGAATAAAGCCAAAATATTGAGGAACATTATTACATGAATGAAGATTTCTGTGGTGAATTGGTTTGGTTTGGTTGTTTTTGCTTAGCGGCATATCAACATCTCTTTGGGTTATTCAAGTTCGAAATCAATATCTTTTACGTTTTATTGTTGGAAATAATAATGGATTTAATGATACTCTTACTCATTAACCCATAGCTGTGGGAGACGAGGTGAATTCATATCATTCCCAAGGGGATTTACTCGTAACAAATCCAGGGGGAACTGGACCTCGGCTCTCCGATTAACAATTCCGAGCCATTATCCATTACACCATCCGCACATCCAAGATTGCAGCACCCGGTATTCACAATCGGTAACCCATCTAGCCACTAACCAGGCTCGACGTTGCTTAACATCGGTGATCGTCCGGGAATCGGAGTTTTAACGTGATCTGACCTTTAGTGGTGAACTTATGGAGAAAAAGGTATTCATTATCGTAAACTACATGATTAAATGATTAAATCATACATAATTAGAAATAATTAAAATAATTAAATGATACATAATTTTAAAAAAGCATTAATAAGATATGAAAGTTATCTCCCTTTAATTTTCTGAATCTTGACTTTTCAGTGTAATATATCTTTCGACGAAGTAACGATTCGATCTAACGTTTCCCTGAAGCTAGACAAATTCGCTGTCATGAATACCTCCCATGTTTGCATGGCTTCTTTTGGATTTATTACCAAACATATGGACTTCGACGACGTTCTGGAGAAACTGGGAAAAAAAAGGAAACTTATAACATCAGGAAGAGGCAGTTGAATTTTCTAGAATACCTAAAGCTGAAAGACGCTTTCGAACAACCTGAAACTAGCGCGAAAATTTGATGGACAAGGAAAAACAAAGCATACGAACTCGAGTAAATAGATGGCGGGCAAAGTTTAGGGGAGATAAAAAAAAAAAAAGAATTAGAGCTCATTAAGAGAAATTGCGGAGAGCCATGATCGCCTACGTCCTGAGAGGACACAGCACATTAAGAAAAAATGTTTGCATAAAAAAACTGACAATCTCTAAGAAGCTGTCCAAAAATTTATCCTTATTAAAAATACTGACAAGTTTAAACTGACGCCATGTAGTGTTCCTATAAAAACTAGGTTGGACAGAAAGTCCTGACTCACATAGAGAGCGGAAAGAAAACATCTTGATCTCTGTCTGGTGGAATTTCCAAGGAGTACTGCATTTTGAGCTTGTTTTTACACGGTCGCGCCATCAATGCTAAGCTGTATTGCCAGCAGCTAGACCATGTATACGACAAACTAAAGAAAGGTACGCTGCTTTGGTTAGTCGATGTCGGTCTTTGTTTCAGCAAGAGAATGCGAAGCCACAGAATGTCAGCTTAACTAAGGAGAAGTTGTTTAGATTCTTCCACATGCACCATTCAGTCTCAATGCTGCTCCTAGTAACTATGGCCTATTCTGCTCAATGGCACACTTCCTGCGTGACCAGTGATTTAACACTTTTGATAAAGTTAAAGGAAGCTTGTTTACAGTTTTTTTAAAATTTTTATTCAAAACCAGCGTACTGGTATCTGAGGCAGATTCGATATATATATATATATATATATATATATATATATATATATATATATATATAAAGCAAATATATGGATATAGATCCGACAGTATGAAGAAAATATACTGAAAAAAAAAATCCTAATATACGATTATGCTGCTTTAATGTTTAATGTCAACGTCGGACGTTTCGGTCTAATAGACCATCTTCATAAAACATAATTAACATAGACCATATTCAATTCAACATGAAAAAGACGATGGACATAAAAAACAATACGAATCCAAACAGATAACAGAAATATTTTATAAGATCAGCGTTAGATTTCTGTTATCTGTTTTATTGGTATTGCTGTAAATAGTTTAAATAGTTACAATGCCTCATCTCATAAATCTAGAGAAATCCTGAAGAAGGCCGCTGAGTATAATGCCCGAAACGTCGTGAATATGACAATATAGCTAAGACAACAGTTCGAACAATTTAAATAGTGTAAGTAGCTACAATGCCCCATCTCAGAAATATAGACAAATCTTGAAGAAGGCCGGTGAGTATAATGGCCGAAACATCGTGAATATGACAATATGGATGAGACAACTGTCCGAACCATGTAAATAGTGGAAATTATTCCAATGCTTCATCTCAGTAATACAAAACAAATATCAATATTCACTCGCAAAGCAATATTATTCCTATAGTCTAAAATATGTTTCGGCTTTAAATAACCCACAAAGGGTTGATAAGTCGTAAAACCCAAATGAATCAGTTCGTCAGTCACTCAAACATCAGTTCAGACCTCCACACTTAGAACCCACCACGCTACTTATATTCTGGCTCATTCTCTTTCCTTCGTATTCCATTAGTAACGAGGAAGTTCCACTCAGCCTTTTCATCAGAACGTTTACATTATAGAGCAGACTTCCGAAAGGATGATATTTAAAAAAACCTTTCATCCCTAGCAAGACAACAAAGCGACTGGGGGTAGGGTGGGGTACTGAAGGAATCTAAGAAAAATCTCATTAAGGAACGAGAACAATAAAAGAACAGAAAATAAGAAGACAATATTTTGTATATAATTTTTTGGAGATCAAATTTGATTGAAAAGCAAGAATCTGGATGAAAGTTTGACAATCAAGAAGCCAGCGAGAGAAGAAACTGTTAGCATAGAACTTACGTTTACATCTAGGCATTTTAATTCTAAAATGATGAGTAGAAGCAACAGCAGAAGCAGCAGCAGCAGCAGCAGCAGAAGAAGAAGAAGAAGAAGAAGAAGAAGCAGAAGAATCAGCAGTAGCATAAGAAGAAGAAGAAGAAGAAGAAGAAGAAAGAAAGAAAGAAAGAAAGAAAGAAGTAGGAGGTGAAGAAGAAGCAACAGCAGCAGTAAGCAGAAGAAGAAAGGAAAGAAGAAGTAGAAGTTACAGAAAAAGAAGCAGCAGCAGCAGCAGCAGAAGAAGAAGAAGAAGAAGAAGAAGAAGAAGAAAGATAAGGAGAAGGAGGCAGGAAAGAAGCAGAAGATAGAATAGAGGAGGAGAATAATAATAATAATAATGATGACAAGAAGAAGAAATAGTAGTAGTAGTAGTAGTAGTAGTAGTAGTAGTAGAAGAAGAAGAAGAAGAAGAAGAAGAAGAAGAAGAAGAAGAAACCATGTGTTTGCGAACAAATAATTCTGTAGCTTAACATAGTTATCCTCCAAATTATGATCTGAAATTTTCCGTGTATAATGTTCAAATGGAGAAGTATTGAAAAATCATCTGTTTTGGAAAATATGTTTATCAGACAGAAAGAGATAGAGAGAATTTTGCATTGATTTTTATCTCCGTAAAATACCGGGAAATGGAAAGCAATTGCTAAGAAATTCATCGCTGATATTGATATCCGCTTATAGGGCAAAGGAATGCTCGACAATATATCTCTATCTATAAAACGCAGGATGTGTGTGCGTGTGTGTGTAACGAATGCACGGCTGCAATTTTCGACGGATTTGCACCAAAATTGACATGCACATGCTCCAAGTTAGCGGGAAGGCAAACACCGACTTTGCATTTCCCAACTTCCATCGATACTGGAAATAATCGATTTTGTCATGCTTCTACAGCAGTTTTCATGTAGTTTGCGGCCATTTTCTACTGGTCAGAGTGAGAGCCAATAGCTGGCTGCCACGAATAGGCAGAAAGATTCTATTGGTCAGCGTGAGAGCCAACGGCTGACTGACACGAATGTTAACTAGCATGCAAAAAAAATCGATAGCTGCATTCGTCACAAGTGTGAAAAATTTAAATCTGCATAGCACTTTACTCCAATTGGCGCATTCGCTTGCTTAAACTCCACGTTGATTCTGATTCCGCAGAACAGGGTTGGGTGTGAAAAAGTATTTGTTGTTAACATTCTTTTTTCATTCGGTTTTTCCAGTTACGAGTCGTTTTTTAAAGCTGATCGTTTTGTGTTCATTTTGTTTCGTTCGTTTTTCGTAACAGATTTAATGTTTAGTATAGAGCTTAGAAAAAAATTCGCAGTGTGAGATAGGCAAGAAGTAAGGCATGTAGCAACATCAGCGCGGCAAAGGGCACTCCTTTAAAGGCAAGGAAAGAAAAAAATATTTTAAGTCAAGTGATAGCGATTGCTGTATGAGTCGTACGATTTTTGAATCAAGCACGGGCAACGCCGGGTCATGCTGCTAGTACACATAATATTGTTCTGATGAACATTCCTCTTTAGTACCTAGACTTTATGAAATTAAACGCAGTGCTAGATAGGTGGCAATGTGTTATCATTTTACAGATTAAATTACTACATGCAACCGTAAGTTCTACGTTAACAACTTCTTCTGTCTTCTTCTATGCTAACAGCTTCTATTACCTTCAAACATTGGATGTAATGTCAGGAGGGGATTTTAAATTTTAGGTTTTTTATTGATTGATACATTGGGTTTTTAACGGCTTATCAACCCTTTGTAGATTATCTAATGCCAGGAAATATTTTCCATATTGTAATAATTTTCTTTGGAAATGATAAGGGCTTTAGTGATACAAGTCTTATTAATTAACCCATAGCTGGGGGAATAAGAAGTGGATTCATATGTTCCCCAAGGGTCTTTGCATGTAAATGAATATAACAAACCCAAATAGAACTAGAACGCGGCTCTCCGATTAACAATTCTGTGCTATTATACATTACACCACCCGCACATCCAAGCTTATAGCATCTGGTATTCCCAAGCGGAGACCCTTGTAGGTACTGACCAGGTTCGACGGTGATCGTACAGGAACCGTTGTTTCAACGTGATGCGGCCTGTAAGCCTCTACATTTTAGGCGACCCTTCTCTAAAAGATTAGACGTTATGTCTTAAGGGACTGAATTGTTTCAGCATTCTAACACAAACATTACTGAGTGATATAAGAAATAGAATGTTTTGGAGAGCCACGATCGATTATGTGCTGATATAAAAGAGAAAGAATTCGGATTTTTTGTGTGTGTGTCTGTCTTAGCGAACATGGCAGTGTGATATATTTTTTTTATTCGGCGAAATGGCTTTAATGGCCACATTCAGAAGCGACATTGTTTACAAACAACAGCTGTTGCGTGTAGAAGCATTTATTTTAATGTGAGATTCAAATCTTTTTAACTGAAAGTAATATGGCGGATCTTTTCCGAAACATTTTAAAAAAAAGTAAACATAGATGCAAGTTTCTTATCAATTTTTACTTTAGTTATATAAGCCTTGCCCACGTGATTTAAATGTACGTGTAACTTATCAAGCACGTATTGTATCTGTCTATATTTCTGAGATGAGGTATTATGTACACTATTTACATTATTCGGACTATTGTCCTCATCTTTGTCGCCATATTTATTACAAAGTTTCGGCTTTCAGT